ACAAAGAGAAAACGAAAGTGATGATTACGGGAAAAGGCAGAAACAATGCGGAATTTCAGATTGAATCAGAAAAACTCGAACAAGTAGACCGGTTTGTGTATCTTGGCAGTCTTATAACCTGTGACAACAACTGCACCAAAGAAATCGACATAAGGATAGCAATAGAATGGAATGTTCGCATCATTGAAGGAAATATGAGAAAGTGGAAATATATCGATAAAAACAAAGTATAGAATGATAGAATTTTGCGTTTTTCCTAGCTTGTTTTATGAATGTGACACATAGACAATAAAGATAAGAAACAAAGACAGATTGGAAGCATTTGAGATGAAGTGTTACCAAAATTTGTTGGGAATCAGTTGGAGGTACAAAGTAGAAAATGATGTTAAGTTTTATGTTTTATATTAAAACATTATGAATTATAATATACATTTATTTTTCTTTGGACCAAATGTTCTTTGCTTTGTATGTAACTTCACTTTTACCTTTTCTGTTGATCCGGTTGATAATAAACAAGTCAGGAACGTTGCTTAGATTTTTTCTCTTCTTTTAATGTTTTTCAATAGTATATCAATTAATTAAACGATCTACGTGACAAGAAATTTAACAGGTTATGGGACCCAGATAACGTTTTTCTTAATTAATTGATTTGACGAAAAAAATTTAGAATAAAGAAATATCGAAAGATTACTTTGTGAAGAAAAAAACACGTGCTTCTTCATTCTCTGAAATTCGATATTTTGCCTCTAATTAAAAGGTCAAATTGAAAGACAAGGAAGAAATGGATTCAAAGCTTCAAATAAAACAGTTAAGTTGCGCAGCCGATTGGCCCATTTGGAAACGTCGTGTTCGAGATTTCATGGACTACCATGAGGGCGCACTTGATGTGATTGATCGGAAGTTGTCGAAACCAGAATTACTAGAAAACCAAACAGAGCAACAGGCAAAAGATTTTAAAAATAAATCACATCTGTTTAGAAAGGCAAACAGTTATGCCAAATCAGTAATTGCGAATGCAGTCACAGAAGATACATACCAAAAGATAATGGACAAGAACACAGCGTTTGAAGTTTGAGAGGAATTAAAAAGAAATTTTGAAGCGTCAACTAAGGGCCAACTGTTCCAAGTTTGTAGCAATTTTTTCGATTTCAATTGGATAGCGGATGTAGATGTATCCGGCCAAATTGCAAGATTGAAGACTTTATGGAACGAATTAAACAGTGGGCTTCAGGCATTGGGAGAAAATAAACTACCAGAGCTGCTATTAGTATGCAAAGCGATGCAGATTCTCCCAAATAGTTTCCAAAACTTCTAATCAAGTTGGCTAATGCTAGGTGAAGAATAGCAGTCGATAGATGATTTAATCACTCATCTCTGTGCTTTTGAAAGAGAGATAAAGACTTTCGACACAATCGATAAATCATCAAGGCAGAACACCTTAGCTGTTAATGTTGAAAAGCCTAGTTTCAACAAATCAAGAGATTTCACTAAAAGGACAAAACCAGTTGGTAACTGCAACTATTGCCATAAGCCTGGACATTGGGTTAAGCAATGTAGAAAGTGGGTCAGTGATGGAAGACCTTCAAAAAATTCCAAAAATGCTTCAGCGACACCAAGAAAAGCATATGATGAAAAATCAAATGTAGTTTTGTGCACGTCAGCCAGTAATCAAACACTGAGAGACAATAAGAAATCACTAGTTGTTATGGAATCAAGTGTTTTTGCAATTGATGAGTCAGCGTACACTGATGAATGGTTTTTTGACAATGGTGCAACGTGTCATTTAACTTTCCGAAGAGACATATTTCAAAGTTTTGAAAAATTTTCTCAACCGAGTAAATTATATGTTGCAAATGGTGATACTGTAGAAGCTTTTGGAAAAGGAATTATTCATCTTCAAGTAAAAGTGAATAATAAATGGCAAACTGTTAAACTTACAGATGTCTTATATGTGCCAAAAGTAAAAAGAAATTTGTTCTCAGTACTTGCAACTCAAGATAAGAACAGAAATAGTTCTTTTGTTTCAACCTCAAGAAGTTGTCATCTACTTATTGACAATGTGATAAGTGTTGTTGGAATAAGAAACAACAATGGAGGTTTGTTCAAACTTGTTGCAAAAACTGTTAGACCGTTGAATTCTGAAGTCGAAGTTAACTTTGTCAATGATCAAGATGCATTGCAGTTATACCATGAAAGAATGGGACATCAGAATAAGAAACATGTTAAAATGCATCGATCAAGAGATGTTATTTTTGATGAGAAGGTTGTCAAACCAAATTCAGTGATTTTGCAAGAAGAAAGTTGTTCAGATGATACAGTTTCGATTGATGTTGAAATCAAAGATGAAAATAAAGAAACTTTGATTAAAGAAAATATTTCAACTGATGAAGATGTTCACAACCGTAGTTCAGTTTTATTTGATGAAGAAGATCAATCTGACTGTTGTAATCAAAAGACCAAAGGTATGGTTTTACGTGACAGGAATAATATCAAAAAGCCATCTCGTTATGATCCTTTCGTTATGTCTGCATTATGTGAAGTACTTGAACCAGTGAGCTACAAAGATGCCATTCAAAGTGATGAAAAAGATGAATGGTTTAAAGCCATGAACAGTGAAATGCAGTCATTAAAGGAAAATCAAACGTGGGATTTGGTAAGTCTTCCAAAAGATCATAAGGCAATACCATGCAAATAGGTCTACAAGGTAAAACACAATCCAGATGGTTCTGTTGAACGTTTTAAAGCCAGGCTAGTGGTAAAAGGTTTTTCTCAGAAAAAGGGAATTGACTATGAAGAAACCTATAGTCCTGTGGTCAGAAGTTCAACTATAAGAACACTATTAAGTGTTGCTGCAAATGAAAAGATGTCACTCATGCAGTGTTATGTGTCAACAGCATTTCTATACAGCAAACTAGATGAAGATATTTACATGGAGCAACCTGAAGGTTTTAAAGATAATTCAGGAAGAGTCTGTAAACTCAAGCAAAGTCTCTATGGACTTAAACAAGCTCCAAGATGTTGGAACAAACGCTTTGCTGAATTCTTGAAAAAGAGACATTTCAAACAAAGTGATGCAGATACTTGTTTGTTCATTAGAATACAGGGAGGAAAGAAACTCATACTTGCACTGTATGTTGATGATGGACTAGTTGCAGGAACTGATAAAGAAGAACTAAAAATATTTGAAAAAGAATTAAAGTCAGAGTTCAAGATAACATCTAAACCTGCAACATATTTCCTTGGATTAGAGATTAATCAAGATGAGAAGGTAAATATTAATGTCAGTCAGTCATCGTATACAAGAATGATTCTTGAAAAGTTTGGGATGAGTCAGTGTAAATCCTGTACAACTCCGATTTCAAAATCTGAAGAGTTCGATGAAAACAAAAATGAACATGAGGAAGTGAAATTTCCTTACAGATCAGCAGTTGGTGCATTGATGTACTTGATGACGGGAACAAGACCAGATAAGTCTTGTGCCCGCATATGCAGTTGGAGTAGCATCCAGAAGTTTGGAGAAACCCAGCAAGTCCAATGTAGCACAAGTCAAGCAAATTTTCAGATATTTGCAAGGCACAGCTGATGTCGGTATTGTTTACAAGTCTGGTCAAAACAATACACTTATAGCCTACAGTGATGCAGGTCATGGAGGAGATAAATCTAGTGGAAGATCGACATCAGGTGTAATCTGTATGTTTGGAGGAAGCGTGATCAGTTGGTTTAGCCAACGTCAACTCTCAGTTGCGATTTCAACTACTGAAGCAGAAATCGTTGCCGCAAGTGAAGCAGCTCGTGAAGTGATATGGCTCAAACGATTGTTGAACGACATTGTAGATCTAAAGAAAAAGCCAAAAATTTTTGTCGAAAATGAAGCAGCAATTCGTTTAGCACACAATCCAGAACTTCACAGAAGAACAAAGCACATCCACATTAGACATTTCTTTGTCAGAGAAAAAGTTGCAGAAGAAGTTTCAGTTGAACGAGTTGCGACAGAACTTCAAGTTGCTGATGGTCTGACAAAACCAATGGTAGGACCAAGACTAAAAAATCTGATGTGTGCGATGGGTCTTCAGAACATTTAGGTTAAGATCATCTAATGTTTTAAATAAAATGAGAAGGTGTTAAGTTTTATGTTTTATATTAAAACATTACGATTTATAATATACATTTATTTTTCTTAGGACCAAATGTTCTTTGCTTTGTATGTAACTTCACTTTTACCTTTTCTGTTGATCCGGTTGATAATAAACAAGTCAAGCTTAGTTTGTTTCTCTTCTTTTAATGTCATTCAATGGTATATCAATTAATTAAACGATCTACGTAACAAGAAATTTAACAAATGAAACCATCAGAAATCAACTTAGAAGACCGAAAAGTGTATATGACAAAGTCAGAAAAAGAAAATTGGGATTTTTTGGACACATTTGTAGAATGAGAGAAAACAGATTGATTAAGATGGTACTAATGAGGAAAAGAGATTGGAAGAAAAAAATTGGTAGACCTGCAAAGAAATGGTTAGATGACATTACTAAATGGATTGGTGTTGGTATTCTGAATTCAATAAAACTGGCCAAAGATAAAAAAGGTTTTAGGAAAGAAAAAAGGAAAAAATAAAAGAACAAATCATGCTTTGATGTACACCATCGGCCTCGATGGTTCCTCGATGGAAAAAGGAGGATCATTGATTGATTGATTGATTGATGGTTGATTCAGATAATAAATAAGAATCGCTTCTTTGGCTGATTTAATGAACGACTGCCATTGACCGTTTTAATATTTTTTTTTGTTTTTTAATTTTTAAATGCCTGACGATGAAATTTATATATTTCGAAACGTTATGTTTTTTAATTTAATAAAAATGTAAAATTAATATTTGTAATTTAAAAAAATAGAAAATTCAAGTAAAATGTTGTCCACTGGAACGGCGAAAACGTTGCGTAGCTATTAGGTGACATTCGGCCTTCTATGAGATCGTAGATGACTTTTTAATCCAAAACCTGATGCGCATAACTTACCACAATGGGAGCAGCGAGGACAAGTTAGTTTCAATTCTCTATATGTTGCTGCATGATGGATAATTCGACGCCTGTAAGAGGCATTTGTCCATTCCAACATAAAACTTGTGAGACTAACTTTACAAATCCTCTTCCGTGTAGACCAATCTTTTGCTATTTTTCAAACCCAGTCGCGTTGATGTTACATTTTTGAAGTACGCTTTTCACTTGATCCACAAATCGCTTCTTTGGCCGACCGACTCTACGACAGCCATATGATAGTTCGCTATATAAAAAACTACGAGATAGACGAGACTCCGCCATCCGAATAACATGACCAGCCAAGTGCAGCTGTTGTTGTATCAAAAGATATTCAGCCGGTGCAAACTTATCTAGTTTATTTTGTGCCACCATTTTATTCTTCGAGAGCTTTGATGTGTCGACAATAAAAAGTCTAGGATTCAAAACATATAAACATTCAACAAAACTTTTTCACGTTCTAATAGACAACAGATCGTGAAAAAAGTGAAGAAACACGGCATTCACCCCTTCTCAACACTGGGATTGCAAGAATCAAGTTATTCTAAGCATTAAAAACACGGCCCGAGAATATCGGAAACGACAATTCCAGCAGAAATAAAATACATCAACGTTTTACATCTGCTTGAAAATAAACTAAAATCTATTTTTTTAATTTAAATTTACTTATTTAATACATGGCATTTGGTATCGGACGAATTATGACCAACGTGACAAAAAATTTGCTAAATAGTTAAATGCGAACTGTGCACAAATTTTGTTCATTCATTTAAATGAAATATATCATTTCCTAATACATTTCCTATTTAAAGAATATTACGTCAATAAAATAGTAAACATGCAGATGTAAATTAACAAAATAAAATGCTCAAATTAATATCGCTTTTTGTAATAATTTTTTCAAGTGAGTGTTTGAAAATTTTTAATTGTCATTATTTATTTTGTAATGCAAATAAGTTATATCTCACAAATTTTTAAAATAAATAAATGATTGCAGAACAGACCGCTGAAGAAATATTTAGCTTGCAGTACTACGATGAATTTAATAATCGAATCCCCACGGAAAATATCTACAAACATGTGAATATTTTTAAGAATTGTTAAAAAATAATGTTGTAAATTTAATTTTTAAAAAATCAGATTATTAGAACTAGAATTTATGAGTTTTTTTTTTAATAATTTCAAAACAAATATTACTCGTTAGGTACACAAGTCTCTCAGAATCCAATTCATGAAAAATGGCATACGGCAGTTTGAAACACATTTGCGTAAGAACAAGTACATAATGCAGATTTCATTTCTATAACTTATTGCTAAAAAATAGAACATTTGTTAAAGGAAAATACTGTCTCCGGATTTTGCTTTGTATGTCATCGGAGAAGATGATAGGCGTAGGCGCGTGCCAAACACGGTAATTACTAACTTGTTGGATTTCTAATAATTGAATGAACACAGTCAAAATCTCTTTATCCAGATCAGGATAGTCAAAATATTTTAGAAGTCCATTACTTTAAAATTCCCGAATAAAATTTCTTTTTATCCTTTAAAGTAAAATTTTTTATAGATTTTTAATAAATAATGATTATTTGAAGCTCATTTTTGATTAAGACTAATACATGCCGTCTTTTTGACAACGGTAAATTTGTTTCTCTTGAAACAACTTTTACAGCAAACAGATTGCTATTATCAAAGCCGGACAGATGAAAAAAGTCTCAGCAGTGCTGTGTCACTCTGCTCTGGATTGAAGTATTTAAAAAAAATTAAAAAATTTTTTTTATTTAATCAAATAAAATATATGACAGGGGTCTTGTTTATTGGAAAAATGAAACTTTAGAAATAAAGCCATTAAAAATTGGATCTTTTGGAAGTGTCATTGTGAAAAAAGTATTGAACATAGAAAAACAGTTCTGTGGTAAAATTTATTTATTTTTTGTTTGGCGTTTGTATCTAAAGTAATAAATTAAATTGTTAAAAACATTTACAATGAGTTATTCAAAGTGATAATAAAAAAAACAAAAAGTTTTCTATTTTTTACTGAAAATATTAAATTACAACTTGATAGTTTTTTGGAACACATCTTATAAAAACCAAACTAAAAACTAATTGACAAATCTTTTTGAATCAAATGTTTTCTGTTTACTGGACTGGACTAACTTAAACGGCTGAACAATTTAAACACAGGAGTGAAAGATACACAGAAAATATGGAAGAACGGAAAAGGAATAAAAAAGGTTAAATATTTATTTAAAGCACGTCTTTCGAAATGAAGAAATTGTATTTTTCTCTGAAACAAAATTATCAGCTGGTCGATCGAAATGTGACTGATGCAATAACGAGAACGGTGAGGGTCGTTGAAATTTACATGGCTGTTGACTACACTGAGGTTTGCTAAATTTACCACTATATATTAAATAAAAATATTATTAATTTTTTCGCTTAAACAACATTTTTTAAAATACGAAATATAAGAATCTGATGGCCTAGGGGTTAGGGTCGACTGGAGCTGTTTCGCATTGATCGGGTTCGAATATGAAAAAAATATCCCCGGCTACAACATGCTTTCTGTGTGACGACTCACTTAGCACACGCATCCATTTATATACGTTGTTTTTATGTTACTAATTTTAATGAACCTAGGATGACCTTTAAATTTTTAAAGTTTACAAATTTTGTTTCGATATTAAAGATGTTGTTTAGATGCGAATGCCAAACGCTTAAAACTCAGATGAATGAAAATAGTGAAAACGAATCTAATTTGTTACATCATAAACAGTTCATTCAAACCACATTCACCATTTAAATGTTTTCAAGTACAGAGAATCTGGAAATAATATTGATAACGTGACTAATCGCGTACTTGGGTTGTTGAACATTGCCAGTCTGGTTCGTCCATTTTTCATTCAATAGAATTCAATTCACACGTGTAACTGAACATAATCTGCTTGATGTTCAATTTTTTTTTACGAACTTACATCTGAGTAATACATATTTAAAATCTGCCTTCTAAAATTATTAATTTATAATTTAACTTTTAAATAAATAAATAAATAAACGAATATAATTTTTTGAAATTAGTAATTGTCTTCTAAAAAAGAACTTGACATATTGTTATTTGATAGAGCTACCAGAAGATGGATATTTATATTACCGCCGTTGGAATGGAAATTTGGACCTCTGATAAGATCCCTCGGTCACCTGATATCTCAGGTCGTGATTTTCTTAAAATGTGGAATGACTACAAAGTCGAAAACATGATAGATGTTGTTCCAGCACACGATGCTGCTATACTAATTATGTTAGTTTTTCAGCATTGTGCCATAGTCCATAGGGTAATCGTTAACATTTACCTCCAGAAACCAACATCTTGAAGAAGGCCTCTTGACCGGTGTAGCAAATTTAGACTCAATGTGTTCATCGAAATCTTCCTTGTTTGTCTCTGTAAGATATTTTGTCATTTAAATAATTTGCTAAATAAATAAATGGAATTGGCATAAAAGCTTTTATTTTTTTATAAAAAATTCTATAAAAAATAAACATTCCATAAAAACTTTTTGATTTCATAGAATCGCACCGGATAACATTTTTTAATGAGACACTTCTTTAAAACTGTTAGCACTATTTTTTAATCGGACGAATGAAATATCCGGACAGTACATCCATGAATTGGCATATACGGCCACCACCTACACGCACGAGTTGGCTCACATCTTCGGTCTGATCCACAACGAAGATGTACCCGGCTGCAACTGCCCCACAGAAGCTTGCATAATGAACGCTTTTGGGTCGGCTTTTGTTCTCAGTTATCATCGATGTTTTTAAAAGTGCAAATTATTATTGTTATTATTATGATAATTATAATTATAATAATAATTATTATTATTAGAACGTTTATAGAGCGCCAATTAAATCAATATCACATTTATATTAAATTCACGATCACAAAAATAACAGCAATAAATCAATAAATCCACAGAAACAGAAATCATCAACAATTATCGAACCTGATACCTTGTACCTTTATATCTCTTACCTATCAATAAGTGACTTCTCAGAAAAAATATAATAAACCAATTATAGGTGCTAATAAGCTTATAAATTAACTGATTTGAAACACTTATTCAAATGAAAAATTGGAAATAAAAGTCATTGCTAAATTTTCTCAAATGTGTTGACAAATTTTGAATAAATTGTTTGATCTTTTCAGTTTGATACAGAATGTTCTTCGAGATTATTTATTATTATGCATTGTTTTAAAGTATTTTATCATTCCAACTTTTAATTTACACACTTCATGGATTGTCAAAGTTATAAGTATATTTTTGACTGGTCTAAAGATTCGCCATAGACAAAATGTTTTTAAAAACTTTTATTTAAAAAAAACCGACAAGTTTGTGTTTCAACTTAAAAATACAATGTAAATAATGGAACGCATGGACAAGATTTTCATACAAACCCATAAGACAAGATGATAAAGAACCTAGCTGGTCTTCTTGCGCCACGGACAAGTTCAAAGAAGTCTACAACCTTCATTACTGCCTCTTTTCAAAAGGTGCCACATTTCAATACTTCGACGCTGGATGTGGGAATGGTTTGCCGGACGTTGGAGAGGATTGTGATTGCGGACAGTTTCCTGAAGACGTAAACAATTTTTATTAAAATAATTTTAAATATCATTTTATAAAATCATCTTACAACTTCCGTATTTGTGTAATAAAATAACATATTTTCAATATTTTGAAAAGTTCAAGGTTATTTTCTTATCTCACTCAGTATTGAAAGAAAAATATAACTAAGCACCTCGAAACTTATTTAATAAAATTTTTTAGTAGAAGTGAAAGTTATGTAGCCTCTTAAGTTGTCGAATATTATATTTTATGATTACACATCTCAGAGGTGTGAAATAATTTGTTAAAATAATTAAAAATAATCAAAACTCATGATGTGCCGGTTGAATTTTTATAACAGATCTGCTCAAGAAAGTGTTGTAACGTAAAAACATGCAAGTTCGAAGCTGGGTCTGCCTGCGCTATTGGGTTGTGTTGCGATTTTTCAAGCTGCCAAGTAAACGCTTTACTGATTTTTGTTTACTTTTTCAAACAGCGTTTTAAATTTATCCTAATTTATATATTTCTAAACCCAAGTTATTTTATATGGTGGTCACAAAAAATGAAAAAAAATTAAATTTTTAAGCTTAAATCGGCTGGGACCGTGTGTAGATCAAAAACGAATGATGATTGTGACTTGGATGACAAATGTGACGGAACTTCTACCTCGTGCAAGAATATCGTTAAATCCACTGGTCGCATGTGTGAAGTGAGTTGTTAATCTGGTTATTCTGCTGGCATTTCTTGTATTTTGATTTTTGTGAATTAATAAGAAAAATTTTTCAACTTTTTCAACTACAAATTGGGCATTGTATTGTTTTCAACTGACTTGTACTAGTTTAATTTCAAACTTAAATTTTTTACATCTGAGCAATATAAAACAAGAAATTGGTTTTTGCAATAAACAAAATAAAGTATTTCATTCAAATAAGTAGCCCATCACATCTATCTTGAGCATCACTGCAATTTTGCGAAGTAATTTTGCTAAATCGGCATTTAAAACCTGACAGGGACAAAACTTCTGCTACAGAGGAAATTGTTATTCAAGGGACAAACAATGTGCCGAATTTTGGAAGGACTCTTCTGTCAAATCAGGGTCGAGCAGTTGTTACGATTTAAACATGCAGTCACACGCGTGTTATCACTGCGATTATGACGACAAGTCTAAAAACATCTGGCCGTGCAGTCAAAAGTTTGTAATGTATTTTTTTATATATTCATTAATTTGATGATACTGGCATTTAGTATATATATATATATATATATATATATATATATATATATATATATATATATATATATGAACATACAGATACATTTACCTATATATATATATATATATATATATATATATATAAGAACATGCAGATACATGTACCTATGCATGTATATATATATATATGTATAGATATAACATGAGTATATATATATATTTATATATATATATATAATTATATTTATATAACATAACATCTTCATAAATATTAAATGAATAAATAAATAGCTTGCTTGAGTTCTTCATCGTCGTTCATTCTATGCTTGTTATTTTGGCCGAGATTATCTGCTGTCTGATTATAATTATAATGTAAATAAAATGCTCTCTAATATTGTAACATCTAATTTTAAACATGGGACTAAGACGGTGGCCTTTTAGCGGTTGCGGTGCGGATGCGAATAATGAGCAGTGCAGATGCAGGCTGTTGCGGTTTGAAAAATCTTTTCTGCTTGAGGCTCTAATGTATACTGTGTCTCTACTTTGTTGATTTTTTGTTCTTTAAAGGTGAATACTTAACGATCAAATATAATTCTAAATGTAATTGTTAGAAAATATGGGTTGACGTTGATTTTTTTCACGCTCTTGTATGTTTTAACTCAAAAGGTTTCATAGGAACCTTTTTTTTATGGTCGTCTATTACGCTGAAACGTCTATCTGACGGTCATATTTATAAAAAACTACAGAGCAAAATTTCTAATTTGCTGAACACGGACCAAATTATTCTTGTATTAAATTTAATCAGTGATGTAGCTTAACCGCAAAGAAATTTGTAGTTAAGCAGTTTTATAGCTGGATGGAAGTTTCACAAAAATTAATTAAAGCTTTTCCGAACAGCAGCATACTTCTGGCTATAAGGTACCCATAGAAAAATGAAAATGTGGCCTTGGGACCACATTTTTTCAATGAACCATAAAATTTGTAATGATTAAAGGTATGGAATAATACCTAGGAAATAATTAATATCTTGGAGAATCAATTTTACTATCAAAAAATTAAACAGTGATAAATATTGCGGAAGACTGTTGTGCGATTTGGGCAGCGAGGACTTGTTGGACAAAAAAAAGCCATACACATTT